TAGCCGTTGGGCATGGGACTTTAGTTCCGTTTGGTGGCTGCAACTGAGACTAATGCTTCTCTTAGTTCCGGGCCCAAATCCAGCCGTGACTAAAGCTGAAAAGGAAAGTTTGTTCCCTATACTAGTGTCCAAAACATAATTTGACCACTTAATTTTTATAATTCAATATAGAAAATGAAGCAATACTATTTAATCAAGGCAGTCTTAAAAACATAATTTGACCACTTAGATTTTTATATTATAATATAAAAGAGTGAAGCCATACTATTTGTTGTGGAAACTACCATCATGTTTACTCGTACCATTTCCCAACAATAAAACTCAATAAAAAAGTCTTGTAATGATATATCTTTGATTAAAGGAAATTTGTCTTAAGTCTAATACTTTAAGTTGACAAAATTTAAAGAAAAGAGTGCCAAAAATTATAAAACTAAATCAGTATCATTAGACACGTGATAAAATATATAGTGCATAGCTAATTATTTGGAGGGGAGAGTAAAATACTGCGGCTGTCTGATTCTAATAGGCACATGGCGAGTCGCAGGCTACGATGAGTGAGTTGATGCTGATTTGCTAAGCCATCGCAATTAGGGTCTCGTTTAGATAGACGTTAGGAATCAGTATTTGGCACTGTAGTATTTTTGTTTGTATTTGATAATTATTGTTCAATCATGACTTAACTAGGCTCAAAAGATTCGTCTCGTAATTTATCATCAAACTATGTAATTAGTTATTTTTTTATCTACATTTAATACTTCATGCATGTGTTTAAAGATTTGATGTAATGAAGAGAAAGTAAAAAAAACTTGAAATCTAAACCAGGCCTAGCTATGCACCAGATTCCAGATAGCGGATAGAGCCTTTCCAGGAAGACACTGGGGTTGTTTAGTTCTCAAAAAGTTTCTCAAAAAATGTTGTAGTAGTCATCACATCGAATCTTGCGATATGTGTATGGAGCATTAAATATAGACAAAAAAAAACTAATTACATAATTTAGTTAGAAATTACGAGACGAACGTTTTGAACCTAATTAGTCCATAATTAAACACTAATTGCTAAATAAAAATAAAAATACTACAATAATCAAATTCCCAAAATTGACGAACTGAACACAGCCACAGATACCGATAGCACAGCACAGGCTATCATGGAGTGGAGTGCTTATCACTGAGTACTACCGGACAGCACAGCCTAGTAGTGGTCGTCAGTGAACGGCCAAAGTGCGTCCGTTCGTCCTTTTAAGGTACGGCACCGCACCACCAAACGACCAAACGTCATTTTTCTATCCTTTCTCATTTCTTAACACGGTGTATGTAACGAGGCTGTTTCGATTCCGGCCACCGCCAAACGTCCAAACGTCATTTTTTAGGTACGGCACCGCACAGCCAAACGTCTATTCTTTCCCGTGCATTTTTAACGAGACTGTTTGGATTCCGGCCACGGATAACCACTAAGGATGGCAACGGGATGTACCCGTCGGTATCGTCGAAACGTTCTCTTCCCCGCTACGAAGAATTCATCCCGTCTCCGTCCTCGTTAACTGTCTCGGGTATAGATTCTTGCCCATCCCCGTACCCGTCGGGCATCGGTCGGGTAACAGATACCCGACGGGTACTACATACCCGATAAATAAGGACACTTGGGGTCGCAGCTTTGCAATCGGAGACGTTTCTTCTTCACCCGGGTATAAGTGTCGGAGTCTCGGAGATGCCGAGAAGGAGCGAGGTTGCGAGAAGGATAAGCAAAGGTGGCAGAGAGACCGAACTGAGGAAGCGAGGGGCACGAGCGCTCGTGAGGCAGGCGTGCTTGTGCTGCTAGCGGAGATAGTGAGGAAAAATTGAACTAGGGTTCCTAGAACACACAAACTATATGTATGATTGTTCAGATTTGGGCCAAAATACCTACGTTGAGCTTCTTTGGCCTAATACTCGCATGACAGCTCAAATAGTCGAGTTCCCCAACGGATAACGGGGACGGGTAAACAGGGAATGTTCCCGTACCCGCTATACCCGTCGGGATGGATTCTTGCCAATTTAGATACCTGCGGGTAAAGATATGATCCCATCCCCGTCCTCTAATGGATCAAATACCCATCGGGTATCGGGTATCGGGCCCGTTGCCATCTTTAATAACCACGCCTAAAGTGCGGTGAGTTGTGGTAGTTTTTGGGCGTCACAGTCTGTGGTGAATTTTGTGCCATAAAAAAGTGTGACTGCCTCATTTAAACCACCAACCAAACAGATGTCTAGATTCTCTTGGCGAGCCACAGCTGTGGCATGGCAACCAAACAACCCCCTTCATCCTAAAAAGAGACATTTTATTATGAATATGAGCAAACAAAAACGACTCCTTTTTTTTTGACAGAGAGTATGCTGTATTAAAAAAAAGGAAAGGAAGCCACATTCTTTTTTAATCCAAGGGCAGAATATTAGGTCTCAACCTCAGAATCAAAGATGCAAGTCTCACATGTTTTGATGGTCGGTGCGATCCAAAACTTGCTAAAATGAGATAGAATGGAGTGCCATGTAACCAATTTGGAGAGATAAATAAACTAAGCTAGTCGACCCACAAAAACACTGTTGAGTACCCTCCTCCAAAAGCAAAGCAATCATTATTAAGGTCTCATTTGACCCATACACATAAAAATTGAGACTTATGTACTCATACACTTTATGCCAAAACATAGGGGGCGCTTATAATCCTCCTTGCAAAACAAATAAATACATCAATAAGATGAAAGGAAGGATAAACCGATATAATTTAGGTAATTAGGTATATGCACATGAGAAAAGTTTTTTGGTAGATGCTCAACCTAGAGAATGGCCCAGAGGCCACATAGGCCATCTCCTTTATGGCAGTGGAATCATCTCTAGTTAGGTCTCCCAATAGACAAATACCTAATATTCTCTTCATGTCCACATCTTGGGCAATTAGTAGTGTGTCCTTATTATGAATATACTGGCATATGGATTTTTACATATAGATATCCTATTTTTTGTTCCTTGAAGACATTATATAAACATATTTTTCAAAACCAAGTGCCAACATATCACCAATAATACTTACTCTAGACAATTCATTGAAGCTTATTTTTATAGCATACAACAAAATGATCATCGAAGATAGGACTACATCAAAACTTAGTTCTACCGGATTTATAGCCCATTTATGTTTTTTTAAGTTTGTTAGTATTGTACAAACTAGTTGTAAAATTATAGAAACGACTAAAAGAAGAAAGTATATTATGGTTTGGCATACCCTAAGAAAGCCCAATAGTCCCATGTACCATTTAATAGAATAAATAAAATGAACCATCTATCACACTATCCAACTCCACCTTCCCTTTGCCCATGCAAAGTCACCCATGTCGCTGACTACTGGCCACCACGGCTCGCTAGAATCAAAGCCCCTCCCGACAGTGAGGACCCTCTGCTCGCCCTTTTCTCAACCCTCCTCACTGAATCTAGTTGTAGCGGTCCTATCCGGTGACACCAATTTGGTGAATTCCCAAGGTATGCAAATCATAGCTCCTATTTGATAGGTAGATGGAATGACTTGATGTATGTATGTGTATATATTCAACACCAAATTAGTTAAAATGATTTAGTGATGCTTTATGCAAAACCATTGAATTATAAAGAGGTGTCGAGACATAGTGAATTAGTTAAAATTGAGATTTACTATGTTATTTAGTACTCCCTTCGTTTCCAAATTATAAGTCGCTTTGACTTTTTTGTCACATGCATTTTGCTATGCATCTAGATATAATAATATGTCTACATACCTAATTGTGGGGCAGATTCTCTTATTGTTTTTCTAATTAATAAATGAACTTTATAGAATTGCATGTAAAACTTTTGATGCGGTAATGAAATACTAGTTTATGTCCACCACCGAAAAGAAAGACAATATTTGTTTGAATGTGCATTTGTTATTCGGTTGATGATTTTTGTGGCTGATACTGTTTTGTTGTGAGAGAAAAACATTATACGATGGGCTGATAAGTTCAAGCGGACATGGAAGAATTTTTTTTCCTATTTTCTTGGCATGTTTGTGAGACCGGTTCAAAGTGTGTGTGCTAGTACTTAGAGCATCTACAAGAGTTCCTTAAACCCACTCATAATCCTTGGTTTTTAGAAATAAGAGAAAAAATCTCTCTCCAACAGTTTCTAATATCTTCGAGACAGCACGGGACCAGTATCTTTCCGCGTGCCTGCCTCACTAGCCAAAGCGAGGTACCGGGGCACATGTCTGTGTCACGGGTAGGCCAAGCATCAATTTGGCGCCTCCTTTTGCCGCGAATCGGTCCTTGGCGCGCTCGTTCATCGATTTGCAGCAGTTGCATCGGATCTCGGAGACATACGAAGGAAGCCGCTCCTCCATCGGCATCCAGAAGAGGTTCGATGCCGCTACTGTGAGGTGCTGAGGTACGTACGATCGGTTTTTCGTCTTCGCAGTATTGGCCTCCTCTCCCTCCGATCTGCTTTTGGATCTTCACGGTATTCTCGCGTGCTCCGTCGTGTCGTCGCCGTCGTCGTGGCAGTGTTTGCGTTGTCGTCTGCATGGGCGCTAATGGTATCACGGCGGGGCCCACACAAGACGATGCGTTGTCGTCTGCATAGACACACACCACGGAACGGGAAAAGAAAAGCCGTCCCGAGAGAGCACGGGACCAGTCAGCAACAACTACTCGTGCCTGCCTCTCACTAGATGCCAAAGCGAGGTACCGGGGCCACATGTCTGTGTCACGGGTAGGCCAAGCGTCCAGTACGCTTGGTTTTGACGTTTCGTACCCGTCCGCACCACCAGGCTGTACGATTTGCAGTCCTTGGCGTCCTCCCCACCTGGCTCACTTCCCAACCTTCCATGTTTCCCGTTCTGCCCCCGCCGAGTTCACCCGCCGTACCGTACCCATTTTCCTCCCTGCAACCATCGCCGGATCAAGAAGCCACCGAGACCGCCGCCGTCCGCTGTGGCAAGAAGCCCACCCCTCCTTCCCCATGGCCGCGGCTTCAGCCCAGCAGCACAGGCACCCCAAGCGCCGCCGCCTCGCCCTCTCCCTCTCCCTCTCCCTCTCCTCCTCCCCCACCCCCAAACCCGTCGCGCCGCCGCTCGACACGCTGGCCGACGAGCTGCTCTTCCTGGTGCTGGACCGGGTGGCCCAGGCCGACCCGCGGGCGCTCAAGTCCTTCGCTTTGGCCTCCCGCGCCTGCCTCGCCGCGGAGTCCCGGCACCGCCGGACGCTCCGCCCGCTGCGCGCGGACCTCCTCCACGCCGCGCTGGTGCGGTACCCGTGCGCCACCCGCCTAGACCTCTCCCTCTGCGCGCGTCCCCGACGCCGCCCTCGCCTCCGCCGCCTCCTCCTCCTGCTCCGCCCTCCGCGCCGTCGACCTCTCCCGCTCCCGCGGGTTCGGCGCCGCGGGTGCCGCCGCGCTCGCCGCCGCGTGCCCGGGCCTCGCTGACCTCGACCTCTCCAATGGCGTCGACCTCGGGGACGCCGCGGCCGCCGAAGTGGCGCGGGCGAAGGGCCTCCGGAGGCTCTCGCTGGCAAGGTGGAAGACGCTCACTGACATGGGGCTCGGGTGCGTCGTCGTTGGGTGTACGGAGCTGAGGGAGCTCTCCCTCAAGTGGTGCCTCGGGGTCTCGGATCTGGCGATCCAGCTCCTCGCACTCAAGTGCAGGAAGCTCACCAGCCTGGATCTCTCCTACACCATGGTGAGCGTTGTGCGGCTTTCTTTGGTTTCGTTGGTCGTTTCTTGGATGATTCTGTCTTTTGTTTCCTTCTAGTACGTTTCTTGATTTGATTTCTAGGCATCAAATGGGTTTCAGTTATTTCCTTTGCTATAAATCTACTACCTTCATCAGTTACTGGTACATCAATTGCTCAATCTAATTTATTCAGTTAGTGCTTAGGGCATTGGACCACTTCAGTGTATGGGGACTTATAGGTAGTATAGTATTCTTGATCTGCAGGACGTTCTTATCTATAGACATGGCAAATCATCTTTGCAACAATGGATCAGCAGAGCAGTACTAGTAACCAACTCTAGTTTCTCTTGCATATTTGTGCCTAGTGCCTACCGACCCACTTATCGTATCGTGCTGGAGTAATAATAAAATGGAAACGTATCTTGTGTTGCAGATCACAAAGGATAGCTTTCCTCCCATCATGAAGCTACCCAATCTTCAACAGTTGACCCTGGTGGGGTGTATTGGAATTGATGACGATACCCTTGGTAGTCTTGAGAAAGAATGCAGTAAATCACTACAGGTGAGGTGCTCATGGTAATTTGCCATTTTTATTGACTTGCTTGTTACGAGCAATCACAGCTTCATTTGAAACACTATAGTAGTATTATTTTTCTTGATCTTACACTGTTAGGTTCTGAACTCTGTAGATGGCTTGTCTGAACTAGTCACTTGTACTAAAATATGTATTTTTGCAAATTAACGCAAAAATGTTTGATAGTAGCACAAAGCTCCGCTTATTACTGAACTTGCATGCTTGCACGGTTGCAGGTGCTTGATCTGTCTCAGTGTCAGAATATCACTGATGTGGGAGTTTCATCCATACTGAAGTCGGTACCCAATCTATTGGAACTGGATCTTTCATACTGCTGTCCTGTAAGTAGTGAATCATCTACTCGTATTATTGTATCACTTGAGCATAACTTGAGCCCTCAGCTTAATTTACATCCTTCATGTATCAGGTTACTCCTCCTATGGTGAGAATCTTCCAGAAGGTTCCTAAATTGCGGACCCTGAAGCTGGAAGGCTGCAAATTCATGGCTGATGGACTAAAAGCTATTGGAACCTCTTGTGTTTCTTTACGGGAGTTAAGCTTGAGCAAGTGCTCTGGAGTGATGGATACAGAACTCGCTTTTGCCATGTCAAGACTAAAGAACCTGCTGAAGCTGGACATTACTTGTTGTCGCAATATCACTGATGTTTCACTAGTGGCCATAACTAGTTCATGCACTTCCCTCATCTCTCTAAGGATGGAGTCTTGTAGCCGTGTTTCCAGTGGGGCGCTCCAATTGATTGGGAAGCACTGTTCTCACCTAGAAGAGTTGGACCTTACTGACAGTGATTTGGATGATGAAGGTATTTAATACTGAACTGGGTAATGAATTATTCTTTGCCAAATGGACATGAAGTTGACTTTGAATATTTTTTGTGCAGGACTGAAAGCTCTTGCCAAATGCAGCAAACTTTCGAGTCTAAAAGTTGGCATTTGCTTGAAGATAAGTGATGAAGGTCTTACCCAGATTGGAAAGTCTTGCCCAAAACTCCGTGACATTGATCTGTACAGGTCATTATTAGACATGCCTTGTGGTTTTCTTTGTTTGGTTCTTTGTCAGTAAACTAACTTATATTTTCTGTTTCAGGTGTGGAGGCCTTAGTGATGATGGAATTATTCAAATTGCTCAGGGTTGTCCGATGCTAGAGTCTATTAATCTATCCTACTGTACAGAAATAACAGATCGTTCACTGATTTCACTTTCAAAATGCGCTAAGCTGAATACTCTGGAGATTCGTGGCTGCCCCATGATTACATCCTCTGGGCTCTCAGAAATAGCAATGGGGTGCAGGCTACTTTCCAAGCTTGATATTAAGAAATGCTTTGAGATTAATGATGTGGGAATGCTTTACCTTTCCCAGTTTTCTCGTAGCCTTCGTCAGGTATCATCCTTTTCTCCTGTAACTGTAACTGGAATCTGAAGGTACCATGTATGTTCTGCAATTGTGCTAATACCATCTATGTCTCATCACAGATAAACTTGTCGTATTGTTCAGTCACCGATATCGGACTTTTGTCCCTTTCTAGCATATCCGGCTTGCAGAACATGACCATCGTCCATTTAGCGGGTATAACACCTAATGGCTTGACAGCTACTCTTATGGTTTGTGGTTGTTTGACGAAAGTGAAGCTTCATGAAGCATTCAAATCCATGATGCCTGCTCATATGATAAAAAATGTTGAGGCACGCGGCTGTGTTTTCCAGTGGATTGATAAACCATTTAAGGTATTCTACTGCTCCCCTGGTTGCTTTACACAGCGTTAAACCCTTGTGTTCACCAACTCATTTAGGTGTCTTGCCTGATTTGCTACTTGAAAACACTACATACTATTTGCTTCAGAAAAGTTGTGGTTCTATTAAGCTATGTTTGTGCTGTGCAATGATTTTTTTTGACTTTCAAGATTTTGTCTATGCTTCAAAACGCACAAATCATGATTTGCTTATGGATGGCGTTTTAAAAAAAAATGCCTAAGAGCATAGCACAGTTGTCTTATATCTGTTGACTGTTGAGTGGATTTGTTCGTACTAGAATTACAAGCCTGGAAAAGTCACAAGTGTCGTGCAGGTTGGGGTGGAACCTTGTGATGTATGGAAGCAACAGTGCCAAGATGTGCTTGTACGATGAGAAGACCTCAAGTCATGCATCTTGTGGATGGATGGGTTTGTTGACTGGCATCCAGAAGTACTGTTAATCGGTGCGGTACCACAGAGGTGTATGTATACTAGATGAGTAGATCCAGTCCCAGTCCCAATCCCACCTTTGTTGGGTGAGGTGAACATGCCTGGGGAGTACATTATGGCCCTGTTCGCTTAAGCTGAAATTTGGCTTATGCTGATGCTTATGTTGAAATGTTCTGAGAGAAAAACACTTTTCTATAGCTGAAAAGTAGCTCATGGAAGTGATGGTTTTGGTTGATAAGAAAACGATTTTGGAATTTAGTGCCATAGATATGGCCTGTGTTTGTTGGCTGGGTATTTATGTTTGTGATTAGCTGGAATGAAGTGGCTTGCATTGCATTTGTTTTCTGTTTGGGATACAAGTACAGAATGAAGGATACAGGTGATATCCGCTTGTTTATAGTGCTTGAATGAAGTGGCTTGCCGGTTGCATAGGCCATACAGGATCTGGTGCAACACCTCTGCTTGGTCATAACGTATCCTCTCTCAAACAAACGAGGAGACGATAGTAGACGGAGACGCATTGATCCTTAAACTTTGCGGGTGCTGGAGTTTGGTCAAGTCCGATGCGAGTCAGTGTTGGACGCACACGGACGGGACCATGGAACTCAAACAGAATTTAAGGGCCCTCCGGCGATCTGGTCGCAACGGTCTATCTGGACCATGTATAAAATATATAAAATCTTATAATATATATGAACTAATTTTACTTGCAAAACGAAAGCAAATTCAATAATATATTTTTAATTTGACATGTCTGATAATTATCGAGGAACAATGTAGATTAAGCAATATATTTGTAGAGGTATGATAATTATCGATGAATAATGTAGATAAAAAAGCAAGATATTTGTTTTCTTTTCTCACCCATTACAAATGTTTCGTAGGTAATATTCTAAAATTCTAACACCTAAATTAGAAGAAAAATATGACTACATGGGTACAAAGTACTAGAAGTCTGAAATACTATACAAATAATTAATTTAGATTAAAAATAAAAAGGAAAAAATATCTTGGCCCTAAACAATTGATCGGTGATCACAATTCGTAATAAGCCAAGAATCAAGATGTCGTCGTCGTGGAGTCCTGCCTAGTCGACGTCCTCGTGTGCCGTGTTTGTGTCTCCGGTAGTCTGGCTCCTCGCGGCGGCGTGGCTCGCTAGCTCTGCGTGTGTAAGGCGCACGTCGCGAACTTACGATCAGAGTGTGCTGTGTGCAGCGTGACTCCTCACCTCCTCTCTACCCGAGAGCCATGGGAAAAGAAAAATAGAAAAGGAACGTCGATGTTGTCTTTTTAGGCCGTCTGACCAGTTCTACGTTTCTCTTCTCATTAGTTTGCTAATGTCTAATAAACTATAGGACCTACAAATTTATATACCTAGGTTTAGACCCCTCCTTCGTTTGGGCCCTCGACCGTCGCACCTGGTGGCCTACCCCGGGCCGGCACTGAACTCAAAGCACAGGGTGAGACAGGAATGGCAGGTTGAAGAGATCGGGGCAGCAATGTACAGGTAAAGAGGCAGGTGGCCATGGCCATGGGCAGCTAGTAGCATTGAAGAAGTCGCTGGCAGGAGCGAGAGCGAGGCGACATGGGCGGCGCGGCGCAGGCATCACGTTGGTGCCGGACAAGAAGTTGCCATTGCCGTTGCCAACCACGGGTAGCTGGCCGATGCTCCTGTCCCGTCCATGACCCCTTCAACCCTTATAGGCATGGCTCGCCGTTGCGCCCAGGGCAGAGCGCAGCTGCTGCCACCTGCTGCATTGCTCGAGCCCTTTTCCTTCTAGAGGCTGAGGTGGTGTTTAGTTCTCAAAATTTTATAAAATTTTTTAATATTCTCCGTTACATCGAATCTTTGGATATATGCATAAAATATTAAATATAAATAAAAAATAAAATTAATTATACAGTTTAGACAAAATTCACGAGACGAATCTTTTAAGCCTAATTAGACTATAATTAGATACTAATTGTTAAATAACAACGAAAATGTTATAATACCATTTCGTAGAAAATTTCGCTAAACAAGCCCTGAAGCTGGAGCAGGGTGTCGTTGCTACAATGGTCCGTCGTCATACGCTGCCCTACCCTACCGCTAGCGGTCCTGTCATTAATGCCCCCCACCACACCTAACCAACTAATGGGTCTGTTCGCTGATCGGTGCTGATGTTAATTTAAGCTGGATACTTATTTGTTTTAGAGAAAAACACTATTGATTGACAGGCTGACTGAAACCACCAAAGAACCATCGAGCGAACAGGAATGAACCAAACCCATAAATTTAACCCACCGCAGCTCCGGCTACAACTGCTCCTCCTGCTCCTGCTTGGCAATCCAAGAAGAGGAGAGGAGAGGGGAGGACGGAGCTCACGCGCAAGAGCAAGCAAAGCATAAGCAGCAATGGGGATCTGCTGCAGCAAGGCGGCAGCAGGGGAGCTGGACGACGATGAGGGCTTGGGCTTCCCATGGATGCACGACGACGTGTTCCACAGCCACCTGTGGGCCAGCGCCGGCGTCTCCGTGCACACCAAGCAGGGATGGAAGGGCGCCAACCAGGACGCCATGACCGTCTCCCAGGTGCATGACCTCACCCTCCCTCCACTCTGTCTCTTCTCTGCTTTCACCTCGATCTCGGATTGGTTGCAGCGCCTCTGCCTACTAGTTAGTTTGTCTCACACAGTCACACTCTCACTAGATAGCTCCTTGCACCATTGATTTTCACCGACCAGTAAGAATGTTAGCAATTAAGAAAACTGAGATATCTGGGATATTGTGTGTGTGTTTTCCCAATATGCAAGCTTTTCACGGTGTTGTTGCAACCTGCAATGCAAGCTGTGTTTACAACTTAGTTTGTGCAAAGCGCACCGGATCTATCTATGGCTGCTGAGTATTGAAACCTTACAACCTGAGAGAGATGTTAGTAGAAAGGAAAAAACAGATTTTTTAAGCATACCTGAAATTATGTACTTCACCATCTTTATTGCCCACACCACCAGTGTCCTGACTCCTGAGAGCTTGCATTGTACATGAACCTGCCTGGGCCGGAACATTAAAAGCTATGTTGGCACATCCATATCTTTGTACCTTACTTTTAGCATCTCCAATGCAAGTACATTGCTTTTTCTCATTCACACGCACCCACGATTCGCTTGATCTTGATGTGTGGCAATTGTATCAAGATGCTTAGGACTTTGCTGGCCACAAAGGCCACATCTTCTGCGGGGTATTTGATGGACATGGCCCTCTTGGCCGGGAAGTCGCTCGCCATGTCCGCGACACCCTTCCAGTGAGACTAGCCTCTGCTTTGAAACCGAAAACTGGAGATGGAGATTCCTCAAGTGATACTTTGAAGCTTAAAGCTGAAGAAGACTCCTCAAGCGATACTTTGAAGCTTAAACCTGAAGAAGATGATTCAAGCAGTAATTCGAAGCTCAAACCTGTAGAAGATGATTCAAGCAGTAATTTGAAGCTTAAACCTGAAGAAGATGACTCAAGCAATAGTTTGAAGCTCAAACCTGAAGAAGATCCCTCAAGCAGTAGTGTGAAGCTCAGAACTGAAGAGGATCCCTCAAGCAACACAGATTTGGATTCCTTTGACAAGTCAGATAGCTGCTCGTTCAGTGATGATATGAGCGATGAGAGCCAGCTGTTGTCCACTTGGAAGAACATATTCGTGAAGACATTTGAGCAGGTGGATGAGGAGCTGAGGCAGCATTCAGGAATTGACTGTATTTGTAGCGGCACAACTGCAGTCACTGCTGTTAGAGAGGTACTAATTCTGAACTGTAACTACTAGCTGAACTAGAAATCATGTTTCGGTGATTTGGATTCCTTTGGCAAGTCAGATAGATGCTCAGTGATTTACTTGTACTGTAACTACTAGCTGTAGGAAATCATGTTTCAGCTGTATTGTCCTTGTTATGCACAGGGTGATCACTTGATCGTTGCCAATTTGGGCGATTCACGCGCTGTCCTTTGCACCCGTGACAGCAAGGACCGTCTGATCCCCGTCCAGCTCACCACTGACTTGAAGCCAGGTCTTCCAAGTGAGCGTCAAAACTTCTCATTTCACGGCTACTAACACACCTGAATGCACTTCTTGTCTGAATTTTGCATTCCTGTATACTTGCAATAGGCGAGCTCGCAAGGATTCTGAACTGCAAGGGAAGAGTGTTCGCCATGGACGACGAGCCAGACATGCCTAGGATGTGGCTGCCAGATCAGGATGCGCCGGGCCTCGCCATGGCAAGGGCCTTCGGTGACTTCTGCCTGAAGAACCATGGCCTTATCTGCACACCTGAAGTCTACTGCAGGAAACTGTCCGAGAAAGATGAGTTCCTGGTGCTTGCTACTGATGGGGTAATTAAAAATAAAAAAGTTGAAAATTCATTTATTTGATTGGCAGTTTCAGATTCCTGTCACTTTCAGTCCAGGTTTCTTTAATCAGAAAGGCTTGCATGCAGTTCTATTCCAGATGATCTGGGTACAGAATATAGCATAAATCCCTTTCAGATAAGACCCACAAAAGAAACTGTTAACCAAAACCATACATGCATATCACTGTCGTCTATTTGTTATTGCCATGATAGTTTTAGCAGATAATGATTTGTTCTCAAATCAAAATACAACATTCTCAGATGATATGGTTTTACGGTAGCATGAGAAGTCTGAATTCCTTTTGCTGCCGAAACGGCGAAACCTGTTGCAGATTTGGGACGTGCTGTCGAACAAGGAGGTGGTGAAGCTGGTGTCATCGGCGACCGACCCGTCCAAGGCGGCGAGGCAGCTGATCGACCGTGCTGTCCGAGCGTGGCGGCGCAAGTACCCGACGTCCATGGTGGACGACTGCGCCGTCGTGTGCCTCTACCTGAACCGGGCCTTATCTCCTGGTCCTGACGAAAGCCTCCTCCGAGTCCCGGGCACAGGAGACGACGCGAAGCCGGCGGCGCATCCGGTCGTGCCGTTCACGGGCAGCAGCTTCCGCCGGGTTCTGAGTAACAGCGGCGAGGCGTCGCATGAGGAGGGGGCGACAGTGTGGAGAGCGCTGGAGGGGGTGGCACGGGCCAACTCCGTGATCAGGCTGCCGCGCATGGGGCGCGTGCTGAGCTGGCGGAGGCGGTCGAGTTCGCTGGACGAAGACGACGGCGAGGAGCGGGATTGATCATCAATTCCTGGCCAAATTGAAGGGAGGCCATCGTTTTCATGGGCGGTACACGTAAATTCATCCGTGCATGGTCATGAACCGATGGAAGCGAGGCAGCCAAATTGAAAAGGAATTTCTAGGATTTGATTAGCGTAATGGCCTGTCGCATTCAGGTTGTTGAAACGGATGAGGTGATATGGACAGGAGTAGCATTTCTTCATTCCCTGCTGAATCTGAATGGTTGTTCGTCTTCGCCTTGTTTATTTGGCTTATAGGTTGTATATTTTCAGCCAATAAATATTATTTTTCTCTACGACAAATCAGCCAATAATACTTTCAGCCAAGTGAACAGGGTAAATCAGCCAACAATACTACTGCTACTTAACATTGCGTGACTGGTTGCGTGAACCATGAAGGGTTTCCCGTTTGCGTTTGCTGTAACTGTAATTTGTTGGTGAGATGAATTTTTGACACCATATCAACATGATCGATCTATGGAATGGTTACTCGATCATTCTTCATTCTTAAATTTAAAGATCAAATCATTGCTTGATGCATTGTGGGGTGGCAACTGGGTGTTATGCATTTTTAAAAAGATGGGATTTTATGCATGCATTTTTAACCCTGCTATTTTATAACAATAATAATAGAACAACCACAGTTTTAAACATTTATTGATCGGCCTTGCTAGCGCCCGCCCGGACGGTGCCTGCATAGGGAGGGATGGAGCGAGCGCCTAATGCGTCGGGCTCGCGAGTGAGCGCACCAGCAATGGACCCGTGCCACCCCATACGTCACCCGCGCCGCCAGTTGCTTCCCACACGTATCCCATGTGCAACACCAATCTACTCTAAACATCCAGATGCAACAATTGCAACATAAAAAAACAGATGAAACACTTGAAACAAGCGTCCGAAACACTTGCGAAAACGTCCGAAAAACATTTGAAAACTATTGCAAACATATGCAACATCTAGATGAAATACTTACAAACATACATATGGAAACACCTTAAAACGCTTGAAAACATATGCTTGCAATGTGTATGTATATGTAACATCCAGATCTATTTTTGCAACATCCAAATAAAACACTTGTAACATACGTCTGGACAGATGAAATATTTGAAACATACACTTGAAACACGTATAGTCATTCCAATATGTGCAACATCCCGATCTACTTTTGTAACATCGATATACAATACTTGAAACATATCTCTAGTACATCTGAAACACATGAAACATACTCTTGTAACATGCGTTAGTCTGGAGACGTCAACGGCCCAGCGTACACCCAGGCGCAGGCACATGCCTCCCCTTCCTGCCAATGTGCGAGGTTGATGGGGGTGCAGGCGCAGGCCTCCCCTTCCGCGATGGGCGAGGTGGATGGAGGCGTGGCACGGACCGCGGAGCAGCCAAGGATGAGGCGCAAGTGTGGCGCCGCCGTGCTGGAGAAGGGCGTGGTGGGCGGGTGCGCTGTCTACGGCAAGCAGCCCTGCGCAGCTGCGCTGGAAAAGATGAGCGATTTTTTTGAGATATAGAGGCGCACTCTGCAGTTGATCGAGTGCGGGTGCAGGCGTCCGGAGGGACAGACGCCGCAACCTATCGTTACCGTTTATGATTATTTGATGGTGGTTCCGTACGTGGGGATCAAGAAGCACAAAAACGTAGTGGTTTTTTCTTTGAGCTTTGCAAGGTCTCCCTTTAGAATCTGAATGGTTGTTCGTCTTCGCCTTGTTTATTTGGCTTATAGGTTGTATATTTTCAGCCAATAAATATTATTTTTCTCTACGACAAATCAGCCAATAATACTTTCAGCCAAGTGAACAGGGTAAATCAGCCAACAATACTACTGCTACTTAACATTGCGTGACTGGTTGCGTGAACCATGAAGGGTTTCCCGTTTGCGTTTGCTGTAACTGTAATTTGTTGGTGAGATGAATTTTTGACACCATATCAACATGATCGATCTATGGAATGGTTACTCGATCATTCTTCATTCTTAAATTTAAAGATCAAATCATTGCTTGATGCATTGTGGGGTGGCAACTGGGTGTTATGCATTTTTAAAAAGATGGGATTTTATGCATGCATTTTTAACCCTGCTATTTTATAACAATAATAATAGATCAACCACAGTTTAAAACATTTATTGATCGGCCTTGCTAGCGCCCGCCCGGACGGTGCCTGCATAGGGAGGGATGGAGTGAGCGCCTAACGCGTCGGGCTCGCGAGTGAGCGCACCAGCAATGGACCCATGCCACCCCATACGTCGCCCGCGCCGCCAGCTGCTTCCCACACGTATCCCATGTGCAACACCAATCTACTCTAAACATCCAGATGCAACAATTGCAACATAAAAAAACAGATGAAACACTTGAAACAAGCGTCCGAAACACTTGCGAAAACGTCCGAAAAACATTTAAAAACCATTGCAAACATATGCAACATCTAGATGAAATACTTACAAACATACATATGGAAACACCTTAAAACGCTTGAAAACATATGCTTGCAATGTGTATGTATATGTAACATCCAGATCTATTTTTGCAACATCCAGATAAAACACTTGTAACATACGTCTGGACAGATGAAATATTTGAAACATACACTTGAAACACGTATAGTCATTCCAATATGTGCAACATCACGATCTACTTTTGTAACATCGATATACAATACTTGAAACATATCTCTAGTACATCTGAAACACATGAAACATACTCTTGTAACATGCGTTAGTCTGGAGACGTCAACGGCCCAGCGTACACCCAGGCGCAGGCACATGCCTCCCCTTCCTGCCAATGTGCGAGGTTGATGGGGGTGCAGGCGCAAGCCTCCCCTTCCGCGATGGGCGAGGTGGATGGAGGCGTGGCACGGACCGCGGAGCAGCCAAGGATGAGGCGCAAGTGTGGCGCCGCCGTGCTGGAGAAGGGCGTGGTGGGCGGGTGCGCTGTCTACGGCAAGCAGCCCTGCGCAGCTGCGCTGGAAAAGATGAGCGATTTTTTTGAGATATAGAGGCGCACTCTGCAGTTGATCGAGTGCGGGTGCAGGCGTCCGGAGGGACAGACGCCGCAACCTATCGTTACCGTTTATGATTATTTGATGGTGGTTCCGTACGTGGGGATCAAGAAGCACAAAAACGTAGTGGTTTTTTCTTTGAGCTTTGCAAGGTCTCCCTTTAGCACTCAAAAACGTAGTGGTTTTTTCTTTGAGCTTTGCAAGGTCTCCCTTTAGCACTAGGTTGGGGAAGATCCCCACGGACTGCTAAAAAAAAAACGTAGCCTCCTGGAGATGCATGCTTTGCTTGTTGTTGGGCTGCACTGTGCAGTGGGCCGTATCTTATTTGTTGGGCTTGGGCCGAAAGCTAGACTGGCGTTCGACTTTGAAGCCTAACCCGGAGTACCTTGGCGCGGGAAATGGAATGATCCTTGATTTTTTCTCTATCATGTTTTTTTTTCCGAATTACACGATGCAGGGCCTCAACATGCATGCACACTCAGCCTATATGAACACACGTACGTAAACTTGCCTACACCTATGAGCAAAACTGTGCAGCCTCGTTTTCTGCACTGCAGCTGCCGATGCTAATTTTGAGAAAGTAGACATCGAAGCTTCAATTGTTAAATAAATAGAATATTATTGATTTGTTAGATGGCAGTTAATTAAGTTGAGCTGTTGTATTTTATTGAATGCAGACCCATGCTGCATCTGAATGCTGAAGCAACTGCTCACGTGGCAATGGATTGACGTTTCAAACCTCATCTACGATGCAGCTGCTTTTAAGGTGACCGTGCACTGTAGTCTGTAGCATAAGGAACAGATTTCTTCCACTAAGGTTTATTATGTTTACATAATAGAAATAGCTCTGGCTCACTTGAGTCCTCTTTAGAGCAGCTCCAGTGTATGGACGCGGGGTCGGTTCTATAGATGGGTCCCTCTTTGATTCGACGTCGGCTGTTCCTCCGTCCGCAATGTGTAGAAGTGAGCTCGGCTCGATACGTGGGACCCACGTAATAAAAAAAATGACCGTCATTTTTCTTCCCACAATTCCCCTCCGCTTCCGTTCCCCATCTCTTCTCTCGACGCATCGCTCTGCCCGATCCAGCGAATCCCACGATCTCTAGCGTGCCTTGCCCAGATCCGGTCGATCCATCCGAACTTCCACCTGCGGATCCACAGACTCTTCTTCTCCCTCGTCGAGTTCCAAGCCCGCTAGCTCACGTTCTGGAGGGCGGATGCGGCAGGTGCGGCATGGCGGATGGTGCGTCGATTGGTCGTCGCACCGTCTCTCACCTGAAGGATTTGAGACGCCTCCTTCACGGCGCCATGGTCTGCTCCGAGTACCTCTACGGCCCCGCGCCGCGTATTGGACATACGCATCCCAGTCTGCTGCCTGGCCTGCATGGGTTTGTCTCTCTTCCTCGCTTGTCTGTGGATATGCGCATGAAACAGCTGCTCCCTCCTCTGTGATTGCAGTGCTAACCTGACGTTGATATGCAAGGCCAAAGCGAGGTGTTTCAAGGATGCGTATGTGTACGTACAGGACCGAGGTTTGCTTCTTGTTTTTTCATTGGTAGTTTTCACATAAGCGGTTGTTCAGGTTTCAGTATACAGATGTAATACGTAATCTGGCCTTTTGTCTAGGCAATATCAAATACATAGCTTATATTATTATTTTGATAATTCCATTACAAATTTCATCTAACACAACTTACAGATACAACTTGCAATAAATTTAGATCTACGATAACACTAATGAAAAACCAGAAATTACAAGGACATGAACACGAACACATCACACCTATGGGTTAAATTCTAAGGTTGCCGACCACTAAAATTTTGCCATATATGCTCCACTAGATCTGCCCGCAAGCGTTTATGAGTCTCCCTATCATGAATCATATCATTGATCTCTAGAATTCTGGTAAATCCATGAATTGGTCCATGGTCAAGTCCTTCAATTGGTCTGGTAGCTCGACCCTCTTCATATGTGGTGTCTAGATGCAACTGATAGGAGTCCCTCTCATCCTCAACTATCATATTATGTAGAATAATGCATGCCATCATAATATCTTCTAGTTGTTGCCTATCCCATAGGCGTGCTGGATGACGTATAATGGCCCATCTTTTCTGTAGAATCCCAAAAGCACACTCCACATCTTTCCTTGCTCCCTCTTGATGCTGAGCAAAGAGACTATCATTTTCAGTAAGAGGTAAAGTAATTCTTTTTACAAATGTTGCCCACTCAGGATAAATTCCATCAGCTAGGTAGTAACCCATATTGTACTCGGAACCATTAATTGTAAATTTAACTTCTGGGGCTCTTCCTTGTAGCACTTGTGTGAACAATGACGATTGGTTCAACACATTTAGATCATTGTTAGAACCAGGTGTGCCAAAAAAGGCATGCCAAATCCAGCGGTCATAGAAGGCAACAGCTTCGAGCATGATAGTGGGTACTTTGTAGTCACCACGGGTAAACTGTCCCTTCCATGCAACTGGACAATTACCCCATCGCCAATGCATGCAATCCAGACTTCCCAACATCCCTGGAAACCCTCGTGCCTCTCCAACTTGGAGTAACCGTTGGATATCATCATCATTAGGTTTTCTAAGATATTTCTCTCCATATATGTGTCTAATACCTTGAACAAACTTGATTAGGCACTCTAAAGCTATGGTTTCAGCAATTCCAAATGATTCATCCATAAGGTCTGCCGGTGATCCATATGCTAACATTCGGAGGGCTGCTGTACATTTCTGCAGCGGTGAAAGACCCACCTTACCGAATGCATCTCTTCTTAACTGAAAATACGGGGACCAATTTTCTAATGCTTCAACAATTTGCAAAAATATGTGCTTTCTCATCCAAAATCTTCTACGAAATTGGTAATCAGTGTACAATGGATTCTCAGCAAAGTATTCAGTAACTAATTTTGCATGGCCGGCTTCATAATCCCTATTAATGTACCTTCGAGAGTTGCTGCTGCTACCTGCCCGAGCTTGAAGTTTAGCTTCAATCCGAGCTTGCATCTTTGCCTCAACACAAGCCACCATTGGGTCATTGATTTCCTCCATCATGAGATTTTGGAGGTACTCACTAGTGATGAACTGATTTTTAGAGTCCTCAGCCATTTGTTGGTAGAGGTCTGGTTTGTTGGATGGAGTAGAAGAAAGTGTAGCATACGTGATGAATGAGTGGTGTAGTAGCTGTCCTGCACATTGTATTTATAGATGGCTTCTCCAGCGGTTGGCTTCTCTAACAGCTATTTTTTTCCAACAGCTAGTTCTGACTTTCATGTCAGTTCTCCAACATCTATTTTTTCAACAGCTAGTTCTGAAATTTATGTCAGTTCTCTAACAGCTATTTTTCCAACAGCTAGTTCTGAAAATTCATGTCAGTTCTCTAACGGCTATTTTTTCAACAGCTAGTTCTTAATTTTTTTTCCATCAGCTAGTTCTGAAATTTATGTCAATTCTCTAACAACTATTTTTCCAACAGCTAGTTCTGAAATTTGTCTCCTTTTTTCAGTTTTTGAGCACAAGGAGAGCAGGCGGCACATTTCATAAAAACAAGGTAAACCCAATATTGATATTACCGAATTAATTTAGTACAACCCAATAATGATACTGCCACATACATAATGGTAGTGCCAGATACATTTACTATAACACACATACAATACACTAATACATAATGGTCTTCTTAGTTGTTTGAAGATGGAAATAGTTCCTTGGCTAGACCCTGTAGGAGTTCTTCATGCAGCTTCAGTATTGCTGGACTCATGTTGGAAGTGTCCTTGTCCAATTGTTTCATGTATTTTTCTATCTTTTTCATTCTAACCTGCTCCTTTGATGCTTCTGCTGTTTTTTCTAGTGCACTTGCTCTCTTCAACATAGCATCATGAAACAAAACCATGTCTTCATCTGGCGGCGAGCCTAGGGGAGATTGTGGTAAGGCCTTTCCCTTTCCCTTTCCTCTCATCCTAGCTTTTGCTTTCTTCTGCCCCTCTGGCCGCACTTCTTTGAATGAATCCCCCTCGTCAGTTTCTTGGTTGGAAGATGAAGTGTATGCTCCAGATTCATCTACTTTTGTCCTTTTGTTTTTCTCTGAACAATCCTGACCAGGTATACTTCTATACCATTTGGGTTCATTTCTCAGAATCTTCCAGACATATTCAAGTGTAAATGGCGCTTTCTTGTTTTCTCTTTTGAATACAGCACGTGCTTTGTCCATCAACATGTCATCAGATTCCCCACTACAATATGTCATTCGACCATACACCCCATTGAACTTGGTAACAGCTGCATTAATTCTTCCCCAATGGCTTTTTAGCTGTCCCTTTGACCTTCTTCTTGCACCTTCAGCCTGGCCTGAATTGAACGCTTCTGCTATCTTGTTCCAATAGGCCTCTCTACTCTGATCTATGCCACGAATTGGATCTACTGAATGCTTAATCCAAAGACTTACAAGGCGTAGGTTCTCATCCTCACTGTAATTAATTTCACAGTCCTCCTTCCTTCATCCGGGCTGCTAGCGCTTGAATCTTCCTTTTCTTCATCTTTCTCCGGCTCTCTTATTTGCGATTGCGGGGTTGTTGAATCTGACACATGTGAAGAAGCACCACCAGCAGCACCTACAAACATTCCACTTGAGAAGCCAAAGTTGGGTAGTGGTTGAAAACCTTGATAACGTGGTGAAAACTGGGCATACTGTTGAGGTTGCCTACACCACCAAAGTGATTCAAGTTGTGCATGGCATGAGTAGGTGTAGGTTGACTATGTTGGAGATAATGGGAATGGTTGAATGGTGTTGGTGGGGTGGGAAACTGAGTGTGGTTGAAAGTGTTGGGTGCGAAATTTGGCATGTGCTGGAAGCTTATGTTATCGGCTCTTTGATTTCTGGGGTCAGTAGCTAGCAATCTACTAAAACCTCCCTCTGAGGGCTCCATATGAATTGTTTTGATATTGCTACTTTATTTTTGTGTAGGCTGTGGGAACAAGTGGGAGGAAAAGATTGTTGGAAGCAAAGGAGGAGGCTGCTGGGAACAAGAAGGAAGGCAGGGGAGGCTTGTTGGAAGGAAGAAAGCAGGCGCTAGTACTCCTTTTGAAGACTCGTCGTGCTGTAGCAAGCAGCAAGAAACATTGCTTTTTTTAAGGCAACGGTCAAGTGCCGCTGCTTTCCACGAGACCGTTGAAATCTCATGGCAGTTGGAGCCGTTGGGAAGTGTATCATGTATATATTTTTTTAATGTGAAGGGGTGGGTTTGATGGCTGGGAGCCGGTGCTCCATGGAGACAACCCTGCAGTGTATAGGACCGAGTTCCATAGATGCATTAAATGCATCGAACCGGCATAGACCCATACACTGTGGGTGCCCCAAGAACATAAACCAAATTAACCACAATTATTACAGACTCTGGACTCTGCGATGTTTCTTGATAAGTTATTCAATACATTGATCTAAAGAAAAACACACAAGGGAACAGAACAACGACATGCGTACATGACAAGAGTTGAACTTCCGCACTGGCATCCATCATATAGGTTTGGTTTGCATGCTGATTCTGCTGCTGTGGAAGTGGAACCAACTTGTTCTTGGCACAAGCGTCTGAAGCGTCATATAGCCTTCCTTCTCATCAGCACCGCCGGTGATAACCACGTACCTTTCGAGGTGAGCCATGGCCTTCACGGCGGCGTCCAGTTTCTGAACAATGTTCACCTGCCCGAAGTAGTCTATGTAATAACCAGGGCTGGTGGTGTCGATTTCGTCATCCACGTAACCAGCTTACAGCCTGTTTGGTTGGCTCATCATCCTCGCTGTCGTACACCCCGATGAGCTTCTCTGGTACTGTTTAGTTCCACTCCAAAATGTTAAATTTTTCAAGATTCTTCGTCGCATCGAATCTTTGGACGCATTCATGAATCATTAAATATAAATAAAAAATAAAATTAATTACACAGTTTAGATGAAATTCACGAGACAAATCTTTTAAGCCTAATTAGTCTATGATTGGACACTAATTGTCAAATAACAACGAAAGTGCTACAGTAACATTTTGCCAAAAAATTTGCAAAACGTAAACAAGCCCTCTGCAAAAGTATTGGAAGCCCTGTGACCGCATCCGCAAAAGCCTCTGCAGTCACAAGCTTCTCACGTATCTGCACTGCGAGGCCTAAGAACGGCGCGAGAAACTTCATGTTCCTTTCGCCAATCCAGGTAGTGTTTATAGGTACAGTTACTACTATCGCTTCAAGTACATGCAACAGTAAATGTGAACATGAATCATTGCATATATATATAGTAGTACCTTCGTATATGTATAGTACAATAAATGTATTCCGTAGAAAATTTGTACATACGGATACGTACCGTGGACAATGCGTTGGCCACTGAGCTCAGGCGATTGATCCAATCCTGATCTGCTGTGGACTTGGCACAAATTTGTGCCAACATTTCTGCAATCACCGCCCTGTACTCCTTACTGTATGCATCAGAAGTCATGATTGTGACCAGCTGCTGAATGTCTGGAAATTCGTCTCCACGGGCGATCAGTGCTTTCCCTGCCTCAATTTCTAAGTTGGCTGTCCCGAGGATCAAGGAGTAGGCGTCGCAGCTCGACAGTAAACTGGAGCATTCTTGGTTCATCCAAAGTTAGCCTCGAGAGGATCTCAACAGCAAAGTTTTAAATCTCCGGCTTTAGCCGGAGATAGTTGCTGGGGATGAAAGCAGCTAAGCGATGTAGTTTTTTGCGCTAAGAAAAGCGGGGCGCTAATAGCATCGTTTAGCCGGCAATAACCGCTAAACTAGCCTTAATTTAGCGCAATTAAATTATGAAACGCGGCCGGCCTGGCCCAACAAGGAAGCCGGCCTAATTGGACCAGAGACGAGAGGTGGCTAAAGTGCTGCAAACCCTAGCTCTTAAGCACCTAGCTTCCAAGCGCCCGCTCTCTAGCTGCAAGAAGAGGAGGCGACTGGCGGCGGCGGCATCGAGCAGATCAACAGAGGCCGGCGGCCGTGCCCTTTGGCGGCGGCTCATGGAGGCGACCGGCGCCGGCGGCTGCTTCGAGCGGGCGGCGGCGGCGGCGCCGGAGGCAGCTGAGCAGCGACACGAGTCTGACGAGGAGGTCCGTCAGCTCTGGGTGCTCCTCGTCTCCGAAGCACTGAAGTAGCAATAGAGCACCAACGGCGACGGCATGGCACAACAATCTGGTCAGTGCTCACAACCTCCTCTTTTTTTTTTTGCTTGTATGTCGTAGATCTCACTATATGTAAACAAGCTGTCAATATTTGTTACCTCTAATTTCATATACTTGCCTCCCGTGCTTGTTTGGCCTAGGTGGTAAATGATAATAACTGCTATATCAGTTTGCATTATTTTGATTGGGGCATATGCAGATAAATTCTTTGTTCATATTTTTGCTTGTTGAAAGATCCATGCTTGTTGAACCAGTTCTAAACAGTGACTTACTTTGCCTTTGCAATAGGACCTTGTCTTATTTAGGTTTTAATGTGGCTTAGTTTGCTCTTTGTATAGGTAACCCGTCCAGTGCTGCCTCTGTCTCAGTAGAAGCTGGACCAAAATAACCTAGTATCAACTCAGATGACCCTACATGGGCTCATTGTTTCTGCCCAGACATAACCAAGAAACATCACCTACGGTGCAAGTATTGTGACAAGCTCTGCAGTGGTGGAATTACAAGAATTAAGTACCATCTTGCAGGAATTAAAGGTTTCAATACTACTAAGTGTGGAAAAGTTCCAGTTCCAGTGCAGCAAGAGATATTTAATTTGCTTACGAAGAAGACTAGTGAAAAAGAACAGAAAAACAAAGAAAAGAAAATGGACAGAGCTGAAGTTAACATAGAAAACTCAGATTGTGAAAGTGGCAGTGAAGGTTCAGATCATGGCAATAATGCTCTTGTGGCGAAGCCAAAGGCGACAAGAGGATCTAGTAGCTCTAGATCTGTAGCAGGTGGTCAAATTATTGACAAGTACTACAAGCCTCCTTCTATAGAAGAATATGCTAGTATGACACAGAGAGGAATTAATCTAAGCAATAAGGTTCAAATAGCATTGACAACTCAGAAAAGAGAAGAGAGGAGGGATAGAACTTGTGAGTACATATGTCAGTGGTTCTATGAAGCTAGCATTCCACACAACACAGCCACCCTTCCTAGCTTTGATCATATGTTAGAGGTCATTGGACAATTTGGTAGAAATCTGAAAGGGCCTAGTCCCTATGAGATGAGTGGACCGTTCTTGCAAAAAAGGAAGGAAAAGGTGATGGATGGATTCAAGGAGCATAAGGAATCATGGGAGCTCACAAGTTGTTCTATCATGACAGATGCATGGATAGATAGGAAGGGTAGGGGAGTGATGAATTTAGTTGTGCATAGTGCTCATGGGGTACTCTTCTTAGATTCAGTGGAATGCTCGGGTGATAGGAAAGATGACAAATATATCTTTGAACTTGTGGATAGGTACATAGATGAGATAGGGGAAGAACATGTTGTCCAAGTGGTGACTGATAATGCTAGCGTCAATACAAGTGCAACCAACTCTATTGACAACAAAAATACCTTCAATGTTTTGGAATGGATGTGCTGCTCATTGCTTGGATCTCATGCTAGAGGATATTGATAAGCTTGGACCAGTTGAGGAGACCATTGCTAATGCAAGGCAAGTGACTGTTTTCTTGTATGCTCATACTAGGGTGTTGGAGTGACTGTTTTCTTGTATGCTCATACTAGGGTGTTGGATTTGATGAGGAAGTTTCTTAAGAAAGACTTGGTTCGTTCTGGGGTTACACGATTTGCCACTGCTTACTTGAATCTAAAAAGCTTGCTGGACAACAAAAAAGAGTTGACGAGACTATTTAAATCAAATGAGATGGAGGAATTGGATTACTTGAAGCAGGCCAAGGGGAAGAAAGCCAACAAAGTGATTAGATTCGAAACCTTCTGGAAAAATGTTGACATTGCTGTTAATTACTTTGAGCCATTGGCTAATGTGTTGAGAAGAATGGACAACGATGTACCATCAATGGGATTCTTCCATGGATTAATGATGAGAGCCGCTTCAAAGAAGTCTGGGATATCATTGATAGAAGATGGGACAACAAGCTCAAGACTCTACTACACCTGGCTGGGTACTATTTGAACCCCTACTACTATTACCCAAATAAATCAGAGATTGTGAAAGATGGATCATTTGCAGCAGGTGTGATTTCCTGTATTACAAATATGGTGGCTAGTGATGAAGAAACCCAAGACAAGATAATTGAAGAACTCGACATGTACCAAAATCAGCAAGGGAGTTTTGGAAGTGAAATTGCCACAAGGCAGCGAAAGAACAAGAATTTCAATTGAGGTAAACAACTGAATATGTAAACTTAATTTGATTGTTGAATATCATATTTTTATTCTAACTTGTTTAATGTTTATGCAGCAAAATGGTAGCTACACCATGGCACAAGCACACCAAATCTTAGGAAATTGGCAGCAAGGATTCTGAGTCTGACCTGCAGCTCCTCAGCTTGTGAGAGGAACTGGTTAGTAATTGAACAGGTAAAAAGAAAATTATGACATGCATGTTTGTGTGCATGCTATCTTTTTTGAATTTTAATGTTTGTTCATGGAATTTAAATCTGACCTGTAGCCTTGTCTTCACTACTTGACTCGTAGGTTCATACAAAGAAGCGCAATAGGCTACTTCATGAAAGGATGAGAGATCTTGTGTTTGTTAAATTTAATTCTAAGTTAAGGAATAAGAGAAAGAAGAAGGATAGAGATCCTTTGGAGAAAGAAGTAGATGATGTTGTGGCAGATGATGATAATGAATTCATTACTGGTATTACGCCTTTGCCAAGTGAAATGGAACAACAACAATGTGCACAAGAATCACAGAAGTACACACCACAACAAGCACAACCACAAGCTAAAAGGAAAAGGCATGTGCACCATAAGAAGAGGAAAGTCAGGAGCCTGCAGTCTTTGATGAGAAATGGCCTAGTGCAGCCTGAAGCTCCATCATCCGATTCAGAAGATTGTGCTGATGGTACTCTAATACAGACTACTGACTCTGATAAGTCTCTCTCTCCCTATGTCTCTGAGTCTGATTAGTGAGACTAGAAGAAATGAAGATTGCAATATTGCCTTGTATTAGTAATTTAGTATCCGCTGTCTAGAACTCTTGATGACCTTTTGTGTTGTACTGTTATCTTTATTCTAGAATGTTGTACTTTTGTGAAACTGATGTTTCAGTATTCTGTTAGCCACTTTGCCTGTTGTAATGTACTCCTATGAACCTATAATGTACTCCTTTTAACTGGTTATGTATCAATCGGTAATGGTTATGAAGTAATGCCAAGGTCATGTCTTTTTTTTTTTTTTTACAAAAACAGCTAAATGGCATAGCTGCAGCTATCTCTCGCTATAACTGTGCTTGGTCAGCAGCTAAGGGGCTTAGCCGGCTATTTAAAACCTTGCTGAAGAACGAGGGACCTGCCGCCGCCGTCAGAGTCCACTAACATGAGCACTTGACTCCACTATCCCGAAGACTATAGGTATAGGACTCGAGCACAAGACACGATTACACGACGTTGGCTGACATGATAACTGACTAAACTGAAATACCTTAAACTAAATACTCAAACTGACCAAACTAACACCACAGCTAGG